TCATGTCTGAGAGCCTGAAAGGTTACAAGTTGGAACAAAACATGATCATTCCATCCACACACCACTAAAGATTGATGGTGATTTAAATGGAGTTTTGAACAGGACCTCTTTAGAACATAGGCCTCCTACACCACTTGGAACAAAACATGACATTATATCCACACACCACAGATCCTCGATGGTGATTTAAAAGGAGTTTTTAACAGGACCACTTTGGAACACAGGCCTCCTCCACCACTATTTTGATCAGGACCTCTTTGGAACACAGGCCTCCTCCACCACTTGGAACAAAACATGATCATTCCATCCACACGCCACAGATGCTGATGATGATTTAAAACGAATTTTGAACAGGACCTCTTTGGAACACAGCCCTCCTCCACCACTTGGAACAAAACATGTACAATTCCTCAACACGCCACAGCAAACTTGCGCATGTGCTAAATTCTGCATCTGTGTTAGTGGTTACTTGACACGACACTGAAAAACATCCATCGTCCCTGGGTGGGCTCGAACCACCAACCTTTCGGTTAACAGCCGAACGCGCTAACCGATTGCGCCACAGAGACCTGCGATGAGCCAGCCACTGGGTCAGTTTATAAAAAGAGCAGAGTTGGACGTTTCCGGCAAAGACAGACTAGTTTTCCACTAGCGCAATGTGTAGAGCGCGCTGGAAACCTAGACCCCGTCGGGAAGAGAGACAGCCAATAGATACGCCCAACGTGGGGCTCAAACCCACGACCCTGAGATTAAGAGTCTCATGCTCTACCGACTGAGCTAGCCGGGCGGGTGCAGGCCTTTGCTTCGGGCTTGCCGCAGGTTTTAACGGAGCCTCACATTTTGCGACTTGCTTCCCAGCCAACATTTGTATGTGGGGCCCATATGGGTATGAAATGGGCTGAAAAATGGGCCCCATGTAGGATTGTCCGCGGGTTACATAATGGCCCCATGTTAATTGCCCAGATAAATTTCATGTAGGATTGCACTTGGTACTAGGCCGGACCCAAGTGGGCAACATGCACAAGACCCATCTCGGTCCCAGCTTTAACCCAGCCGATATTTATATGTGGGGCCCATGTGGGTTTGAAATGGGCTGAAAAATGGGCTTTGATTGGGATTGTCCGCGGGTTACATAATGGCCCCATGTTAATTGCCCAGATGAATTTCATGTAGGATTGCACTTGGTACTAGGCCGGACCCAAGTGGGCTACATGCACAAGACCCATCTCGGGCCCAGCTTTAACCCAGCCGACATTTGTATGTGGGTCCCATGTGGGTTTGAAATGGGCTGAAAAATGGGCTTTGATTGGGATTGTCCGCGGGTTACATAATGGCCCCATGTTAATTGCCCAGATGAATTTCATGTAGGATTGCACTTGGTACTAGGCCGGACCCAAGTGGGCTACATGCACAAGACCCATCTCGGGCCCAGCTTTAACCCAGCCGATATTTATATGTGGGGCCCATGTGGGTTTGAAATGGGCTGAAAAATGGGCTTTGATTGGGATTGTCCGCGGGTTACATAATGGCCCCATGTTAATTGCCCAGATGAATTTCATGTAGGATTGCACTTGGTACTAGGCCGCACCCAAGTGGGCAACATGCACAAGACCCATCTCGGTCCCAGCTTTAACCCAGCCGATATTTATATGTGGGGCCCATGTGGGTTTGAAATGGGCTGAAAAATGGGCTTTGATTGGGATTGTCCGCGGGTTACATAATGGCCCCATGTTAATTGCCCAGATGAATTTCATGTAGGATTGCACTTGGTACTAGGCCGGACCCAAGTGGGCTACATGCACAAGACCCATCTCGGGCCCAGCTTTAACCCAGCCGACATTTGTATGTGGGTCCCATGTGGGTTTGAAATGGGCTGAAAAATGGGCTTTGATTGGGATTGTCCGCGGGTTACATAATGGCCCCATGTTAATTGCCCAGATGAATTTCATGTAGGATTGCACTTGGTACTAGGCCGGACCCAAGTGGGCTACATGCACAAGACCCATCTCGGGCCCAGCTTTAACCCAGCCGATATTTATATGTGGGGCCCATGTGGGTTTGAAATGGGCTGAAAAATGGGCTTTGATTGGGATTGTCCGCGGGTTACATAATGGCCCCATGTTAATTGCCCAGATGAATTTCATGTAGGATTGCACTTGGTACTAGGCCGCACCCAAGTGGGCAACATGCACAAGACCCATCTCGGTCCCAGCTTTAACCCAGCCGATATTTATATGTGGGGCCCATGTGGGTTTGAAATGGGCTGAAAAATGGGCTTTGATTGGGATTGTCCACGGGTTACATAATGGCCCTATGTAAATTGCCCAGATGAATTTTATGTAGGATTACACTTGGTACTAGGCCGGACCCAAGTGGGCAACATGCACAAGACCCATCTTGGGCCCAGCTTTAACCCAGCCAACATTTGTATGTGGGTCCCATGTGGCTTTGAAATGAAAAGTGGGCTCTGTATGGGATTGTCCGTGGGTTCCATAATGGTGCCATGTAAATCGCCCAGGTGGGTTTCATGTAGGATCGCACTTATAAACAGGTGGGCCCAACTGGGCCACATGCACAAGACCTATCTTGGTCCCAGCTTTAGTTTTTTGTGGGTACTACAAGGTTACTATATGGGCTGAAATATGGGCTTTAAGTGGGTTTGTCCATAGGTTCCATGCTGGCCCCAGCAACTTGCTGGATTTCAGGATTCAGGATTTCTTTTATACAGGATTTCACAGGGCTTTAGGTGGGGCCCAACTAGGAATCATATGCATGTGGCCCAATTAGGGATCATCTGGGCTCCATCTAAATGAGTAGCAACACCACACAAACAAGTTTTTAAAGCATTAGAGCACACAGTGATATTGAAATATTTTCAATTTTATTAAAATTACTCATCATCATATTATGCTATATTCTGAAATTCCAGGGACAATATTTTAAAGAAGCAGATTTATGTCAGATTACAGAGTATCTATTTAATACCTATTTGTTAAAATACATATTTTGAACCTGTATTTGACCCAGTCTTTACTGAACATTTGAACAGGATATAAATTGGTGACAGTTAGAAGAAGCAGCAACTATACAGTACATTTATCAGTACAGCTTACACTGCAGACAGTCATTTGCGCATCTAGACACTCTCCTCCTCCATCTCTTGTCCTGAACTATTTTGAGAGTTCCCTCTCAGTCCCTTGCCAGTTGATCTGTGTTGTCTTCCTAAGAGCCTCTGCAAAACATTCTTTTTTTTTTTTTTTTTTTTAGGGATTTTGATTTTAGAAAAATCATGTTACTTACACGTCACAATACCTTATGACAGAATAACAATTTCTACTCAGGATAAAAAAAAAAAACAGCAAAAAAATTATATAGGAATGGTGACGGTTTTGGAATGTCACTGGAAGGGCATTTAGGAAATCAATAAAAAACAGTTTATAAAGTATGCATAATAAGTATAATGATTTATGATTACTTTTAAAGTAAAATTAGGAATGCTCCGATCAATCGGCCAGATATTAGGGTTAGGTTAACTAAGTAAGTAAGTAAAAGTTTATTTATATAGCACCTTTCACAGGTACAAGGCAACAAAGTGCCTTACAACAAAAACATTAATATCATAAAATACACACAATAAAAGCATAGACAGTACATGACCATATCATGTAACACAGGTACCTAATTAAAAGCCTGAACAAATAAATGAGACTTTAGTCTGCATTTGAAGGCATCAACAGAGTCAAAAGAGCGCATATACAGTGGGAGGGGGTTATTAAACGCCTTCTGAAGCAAAGCCATGAGTTTGTGTAAGAAAAATATTCGGTAACGCTTTAGATTACAGCCCGGAATGTACTATGTAATTAAGAGGAATTTACAGTGTAACTTTCTGCAATTATAGTGTACCTATAAAGGACTTGCATGTAAGTATATGGGTAAAGTTTTGGGAATAATGGGGTAACAACCAGGATAATTAAAAATATATATTTATACTGTAAGTATTATAGAAATAAGGGTTACTTATTCTACTATTATGATACAACAGTCTTACATTTGGGAGCAATTTAGCGAGTACATACACTGCAAACCTTTTTGTAAAAATTGTGTATCAATACTGTATAGGCTTTTTTTTAAAGGACAGGGTACATATATAGGCATTTATACAATTCTTTAATATTTAAAAAAAAAATTATAGCAAAAGTGCAGATGTTTAAGTTTTGGCTAACATGTTTCAAGGCAAGAAAAGCTAAGACTATTGCATTTTTTTTTAAATACTGGGACATATATTTTGTTTGATGTGGTTACAGGGTAAGTGGTGCTTGTATAATAAATAAAGGTTTCCAAGTCAGTGATATAAAACTGTGTATGTATTTTTATTGTACTTACCCTGTAACTACATGGAACAAGGGGGTAACAAGCACCACCACATGAAACAAGTGTATCTTTCCCCAATATTTAAAGGGCACCTATTATGGAAAATTCACTTTTACATGGTGTTTGAACATAAATGTGTGTTGGCAGTGTGTGAGCAAAACCACCCTAGAATGATAAAAATCCATCCAGTAGTTTTTTTACAATCTCAATAAATCATCTGCACTGCCTCAGAACGAGCTGTTCTGAGATCCAGGTCTTTGTGACGTAGAACGGGAGACAGGGGTTGATTGACAGTGTGGCTGTGGCCTAGACCCCGCCCTCGGTGATCTGTACACACCATCCTTCATTGTTTCAACGACGACAGCCGGTAATGTCTCTTGGAAACGTAAATTAATGTTCTGTCGTGGACTCGTGGGTTAATCCTGTTGTTGTGGCTTAAAAGTTAATCCTCAAGTGTGGATTCTTGTCTACTGTTTGCGATCCACCGTCACCTCCAGTAACAGTAAGTGTATTTTATGATTTTTGAGCAAATAGTCTTTTCAGTCAATGTCAGCCAATTCAACAACAAATGCGTCTAAAGTTATTGCCGTCGTAGGATGTCTGTGTATATAATTTAAAACCTTGTTTGTATAGTGTGTAACCACACGTTTATAAATATATATATTTTTAAATATATTGTATTAAAAACTGCATATATGTTGGTGTTCTGTAAGTTAGCCATCTTCTCACATTTGCCACAGAAGCACCCGTATGACAAGCTAAACATGATGCCACAGGTCCCTCGCATAAATGTAATTTCGCTCGTACGTAGCAAACTTTATCACAGAATGTGTATGTAGTTTCAAAAACTTGCGCTAGTGTCTGTGTGTGTGTGTGTGTGTGTGTTGGACATCCATCATTTCAAATGGGACGCTATTACAACTCTAAAGTACATAAAAGTAGCAAATAACCATACCGAGACGTTCTGGTCCATTCTCATATGTTTATTCTGCCGGAGTCTCTTCATGCTATTTATATATTCCGATTCAAACGTACGGCTGAATGACATTCAAAACGGCGCGTCTCTTCACTCTCTCAGTACCGACTGCCTGCCATAGGTATCAAGTTACGCCCTCATCCAAAGGCAGGGCGGGGATATGCAGCTCATTTGCATTTAAGGTGGAATACCCCCTGATACAGCTCATTTTTAAGCAGGCCCAAAATGACATTTTCAAATGGTTATAATAAATTAACTGTGGGGTATTTTGAGCTGAAACTTCACAAATACATTCTGGGGACACCTGAGACCAATATTACATCTTGTAAAAAGGGGCATAATAGGTGCCCTTTAAGCAAAAGTTAAGATAGTTTTTGTTTCAGTGCACTTATGTAAAAAAGATGACTTTATAAATGCATATGTACCCTGTAATTTTTTTTTTAAAAGCCTGTAATTTTAGAGTAGGTATTGGTTGACCTTTATTTCAAAAAGGTACGCAGTGTACAATTTTCTGGTGAAATTGCTTCCAAATGTAAGATTGTTATCATAATAGTAGGATAAACACCCTTTAGTCCTTTAATACTTACAGTATAAATAATTGTTTAATTCTCCTGGTTGTTACCTCCTTATTCCCCAAACTTAATATATTGTTCCTTTATACTTATATTGTAAGTATGTTATAGGTACACTATAATTACCAAAGGTTACGCTGTTAAATCGCTTTAATTACGCAGTACTTTCCAGGCTGTAATCTAAAGCATTATCAAATATTCATATTTAAAACTTTATTAAATAAAATAACCAGCTTCCGGCCAAGCGAACATACAGATTGCACTTAAGTGTAAAGTGCAACTTATGTGGTTTTAAGTTGATATTTACTCTACACCATTATGCACTACGCTACTTCTGACGTCACAAATTGACCTATGGCTAAGCCATTCAGTCAAACACGATGAGCAGTGCGCACCTAACCTAATACACTCGGACATTCTCTGCTTCCACGTCCATTGAAATGCATTGCAGTTAGTCAGTTTTCATTAGGTTTTTTTGTCATTTTAAGTTTAAAATGGTCAAACGGTGTGCATGGGGTACATACAACTCCGACACTAGGTTCCCGAGAGACTGGGCGACGGTGTGTATTTCTTTACCCTTTCCCAAGCCACTTCTCAACAGAGATAAGTGTCTGCTCTGGATTAAGTTATGCGATTAAGTCATGCGCCGCGGTAGACCACAACAACAACTAAAGTTAGCCTTCTAGCTGCTTTGTACATCATGTCACTTAGCTTAATTAACGTATCTGTAAATAACCGAGATAACAAATGTTAACAATGTTGTGCTGAATGATTCATGTAAATACTGTAGCACCAAACGGTGATGGCAACGATATGCGGTATATCACGTTTACATTGTGACCTGTAAATTACATTTTTGCCTGGAGCTGAAGCTTTTCATCGACCTTCTCAACAATAAAATTATTAATATAACCCTCCAATGCATAGTTAAGGCCCTTAAGGTGACTTTGAGATGATATATATTTCTGTCTCCAAAAATCACCAATTGCCTCCAGTAAAATGTCTGCCATAGCGCCTGTCCCCGAATGTTGACTGTTTGTCCAAGTGAGTGGAGGGGGCGTGGCTTAGCCACAGGTCAATTGCATAAGTTTGCAAGTAGGCTGCTTATGGCCATTTAGTTGGAAGCTAGTTGTTTTACTTTAAAAAGTTTAAATATGGATATTTTTCAAACAAAATTTTTGCTTCAGAAGGCCTTTATTAACCCCCCTGGAGCCGTGTGGAGTTTATGATAGATGGATGCACTTTTTTGAGCTTTTTTAAACTAATAGTTGCAATCCACTGCCATTACGAAACTTGGAAGCATCAGGGTGTTTATTAATAAAATTCTGATTGTATTTGTCTGAAAGAAGAACGTGGGCTAATATACACCAAAGGATGGCTTGAGGGTGAGTAAATCATGGGCTAAATACTCCAATTAAATTATGTAAAATCTAATTTTGAAAAATTTATTAAATTAAGTACAATCAAAACACCTCAACAAGGTTAATAAATCCATACCGGAAGTGACAGTACAATGTAGTAGATAAAGAGCAATCCTCCACCAAATTGCCAGTACTCATCTGGATCCTTGGTCAATCTGGGATGGGTGGGGTGATGCGTCCTTAACAATATTAAAAACAAAACGTATCAATATCGTACTAACATTTTCCATTATAAAACATTCAGAGAACATGAAAAATAGCCCAATAGCTCCCCGGTCTCCACTGTGTGTGTTTAATACTCACTGCTGTGTGTGTGTGTGTGTGCACTTGAATGGATGAAATGAAGAGCACAAATTCCGAGTTTGGGGACACGTCACATCACATCAATTGAAGCTTTAAAAAAAGAAATTGCTACTCCAAAATCAAACAAACCATCAAACAATTTTACCTGTAGCCACATTTATCCTGTTATGACACGTCTGAGGGTCTTTCCCTTGATGTTCTTCCGTGAACTAAATAAAGGGCTCATGATGGTGACATGTTCTCCTTTCTTTGTCACTTTAGAGGAAGAAAGACATAAAGATAATTAGTTACTCAGATTTGTCACTGGTAGAGGATATGACTTTTGATGATGAGTATAATACTTTTGACAACATAATATATTAATCCCAATTTAAGGTTTAGAAGCAATGGTTAAAACTGACTTACATAATGAAGTTGATAATCATGCCGTGGTGGATTTGTTTTTCTGTTGGGTGCCTGCTCTCCCCCCAAAAATCTTCTTCCAGTGCTTGATATATAAAAATAATAAAAAAATAAACAAATCTCTTATCATTAGCAGTTATCAGTTTTTTTAAGAGGTGATGTCAAAATATTTAGAAACGGGCATCTACTAAAATATAAGAGATTTAACGTTAGACCAATAACATTTCTCAACTCTTCTGTAGATTCCAGTGTTTCAGAGAGTAAATGACCGTTTTATCAGTCAAATCATATTTATATAGCGCTTTTCACAATATATCAGTCACTTTACTCATTTGGATTCTACTTCCCTAGTAAATAAATAAATAACTTCTACCAGAATATATTAGAACACATTTCATACTAATTATACTTCAATTTCATTAACATAATTATTGACACATCACCTAAGAAGACTTTATTACACAATGAACATTTTATATATATATATATATATATATATATATATATATATAATATATATATATATATATATATATATATATTACGACAAAAAAATAAAGTAATAACGTTACCACTATTAAGTGTACCAAAAGTATATTTGCAATAGTTCCACTTTAGCACAATCAAATACACTTACTCAGAAGCACTAACGTTGCTTTCAGATAAATATGGTTAGCTACCCGTTATGTTAACGTTACAAACACAACTGCAGGTAACTTAGTAGCCTACGTCCGTTATCCGTTTATAAAACTCTCGTATGTAACGTTAACGTTAAAGTTACAAAGAACATTTCTGGGTAGTTAATGAAGTCCATTCACATACGTTTTGTTTATCTGCATTATATATTCAACCATGAACTATATTAACACTCTCATCCACTTATTTGAATGTAATACCTAAACGTTTATATTAGTGGATCTCAGTTTTTCTAAAATGATAGTGGAGAAAATGTTCTCTTACCTGATCGCCAATATTGCAGGATCTCACGCATCCAGTCTGAGCGTCTTCTGTGTGTTCACATCTTCTGTTCTCCTTCGTTTACATGTCACATCGCAAATTAGTTCAAAATAATAATTGAAAGACCGAGTAATCTTGCTGAGCAGCCGTCGTCGTCATCAACTCAAATCTGTATTTAGGCTTGTTTGAGATGAGCAAATTCTGCGCAGAATCGATCACCGGTGATCAGCGCGAGATGCATGCCGGTTAGAAATGTGTCCGAGAACGGTCCGCCTGGCTCTGATGTCATGCCGACGTATGTCAAAAAACTCTCGCGAGCGCAAGGCGGAAGGGTCGGATTCTGCAGTCGCGCGCAGTTGCTCTCCACCGACTGCGCTGATCAAAAGCATGATGGGAAACGACTTGCTGACGACACAGCTTAATGCTCATTGGTTTAAACAACAGTGATGAAGGTAAATTCCATATTCATTAAGCTAAATTCTCCAAATCAAGGCCATGTTTTATTTATTTATTGTTTTCAAACTGAAACTGATCTATATTGTGAATCTCTTAAACGGGTTAAAAATAAGAAAGCTATAGTCAGTAACTCAAATATACTAGGCCTACTCTAAAATGTTCAAGTGAAAAATAGCTCTCATTTTATAGATGATGAAGTTTGTAAGTCTGTCTATTTAAGCTAAGCTTATTTTGATTGATTTATTTATTTTATTATTAATTTTATTCTGATGTTTATTTATTTGTCGCTGTGTAATAGGCCTATTTGTTTCACGAATTGTGGTGCTTGTAGGTAGGCTATGTTTGTAACTTGCATTCTAATAAAAAAGTAAAATAAATAAAAATAAAAATAAAAGAACACCAGATGAATTGTTCTCTTTTAAAATGTTTGATTTTAAAACTGATATCATGTTTTATGTGTATACATAGGCTATGGGTGAATAAACTATCTGACAGTGCCATATGGGTTATATTTCATTTTTGTTAAAACAATAGGCTATATAAAAACACGTCTGTATTAAAGAAAAAAAAAAGATTGATAAACCATAGGCTATTTGGAATGTAATTAAATAACAAGTAGTTTGGGTTTTATTTACATTTTATTTATTTTTATATAAAAAGCAACAGAACTCACATCCAGTTTATTAGCAACACGTGCACGAGCGTGAATCCCGTTAATCCCGCGATATCCGCCTTTGATCTCACAGGTGTCTGATTCACTGCGAGAACCCTAGATCTGTCCGGCTTGATTGCGCTTTTTTCACTCCTCCCCTCACTGCAGCCGCCTACTCTCGACTACATTGCAGGCGAGGCGAGGCGCATCTCAAACAAGCCTTTTGATTTTTCAAACTTGACCAGTAAAAAGGCGCGCACAGTTGTCATTGGCCAGTTACATAGATGACAGTCAGATTAACCAATCATGATCAAAGAAGGTGAAACAACCGAAGTTACGACGTCACTCTGTAGGCCAAAACGCAGAAGTGAATTTGCATTTTAGCACTACGGTTCCCTCGCTCTAAAGCCTATGGGTTTTTTGAATGGGTTTTTGCTAAATCTCCTGAAATAAGGTCTCTGGTGAACAGAGCCTCTAAATATTTTCACGTTTTGATCTATGACATAGAACACACAATTATAACCTGCGTGTGTTTTTTTTTAAAACTTTATTGTGTCTGATTGTGTTTTTTAAAATCTTTATATGCTTCAAAATGTATATAAATTTTGGATTAACTTGTAAATATTATCTTGCTAGACAAAACGTGTAAGGGTCACAACCCTCTGTTAAACACAGATCTTATTTTTTGCGATTTTCCAAAAGTCTATGGGGAAAATGCATTGCTTTTTTACCGAGGGAACCCATGCGCCGCTAGCTTCCGGGTTGTCCTACAAAGTGACGTCATCACTTCGGCACTCTATTGTTTCAGTTTAAAAAAAAAAAAAAAAAAAGTGGTAATGATTTTTTTTTTTTTTTTTAAGAAATCCGTGTTTAATTTAATTTGTAGGCTATATTATTTGATTACTGTTTTTATGAAAGTGTGTGAATAAAAATGTAATCCTGCAAGCTAAACTTTACAAATTGCAGGCACACACACACAATTGTAAACCCCAAACAAAATCGCACAAAGCAAAAAAAGTTTATTCTGCACTTGTTGAGACTGAAATTATAACCATTATTTTTATTATTGTTAATAATATATGATTCTATTTCAACACAAATTTATATTTTTGAAGTGGTGTTTTGATCAAAATATCATAAAATGCTACAATAATAATTGGAAATTAATAATTAAAAATAATAATAATTTAAATGTTATGGATTTCTTGAAGACATGACATTGATTCAACAAACAGATAAAAAAAATTCAACTGTTTAGCATTAAAATGTTACATTGTGTGCATTCTGTACTCGCTGCAAATGTGATTTTTGAATTTAGTTTTGATTTTCCCTTCAAACACTGCATGTTGCATTCTAACTTTTTTTACTTGGGCTATTTCATCATCTGGACTGAGTCTCTTTCAATAATCAAAACCCTAACCCTAACCCCAATATTTAAAATCTCTAGAATTACATTGTCACTAACTGACTGACCAGAAAACTCTTGAGTATTTCCATTGAATAAGGGCATTTGGCTGATGCTAGGGGTTTGATTTATTCTAGCCATCTCAAGTCATTAGAATATTTTGATAGATAAGTAGCTTCTGTAACCCGTTCTTCATATTGTACAGGGACCATTTTCGGGCTATTTTCAAACCATTTGTATAACTATATTGAGATAAGCATATTGCAGTAACTCAGAAGTTTGCAGTAACAAAATTAAACCACTAAAAGTTGACACTTTGAATATTTAGTGTCAATGATTAGGGTTGGAACTAATATCTGCTTAACGCCAACACTCCAGGACTGGATTTGAAGAGCCGTGGCCTATACTGTATCCACATACCAATACTATTGCCAACAGTATTGGGACACCCATCCAAGTTATTGAATGGGGGTGTTTCAATCACTTCCATGGCCACAGTTGTATAAAATCAAGCACCTAGGTATGCAGGTGCTTCTACAAACATGTGTAAAAACATAGGTTGCTTTCAGGAGCTCAGTGAATTCAAGCGTGGTACCATGATAGGTTTCCACCTGTGGAATAAGTCCATTTGTGAAATTTCCTCACTACTAAATATGGTCAACTGTGGTATTTTAATAAGGATTATACTGTAAATCATAAATATACTGTATATAAATGTTTTAATGATTGCACAGATATGTTTTTTTTTACAAGTGTATAGTTTATGAAGTCATTTACAGATGCACAATTTATATTTATTCCATAGTTCATTATATTCACAATTATACTTGTATATATTTCCGCATTAAGGATCCATATAGAGATTACTTATGTGGAAACTACTTTGGGCCCATGTAGGCAGCCTATATGGGACTGTTTGTGTTTGCCCATGTCTGACCCATGCAGTTTATCAAAATGGGCCCCATATGTTTTTCCCATTCAGAACCCAAATAGAGATTACCTATGAGGGAACTACCTTGGGCCCATGTAGGCAGCCTAAATGGGACTGCTTGTGTTTGCCCATATCTGACCCATGCGGTTTATCAAAATGGGCCCCATATATTTTTCACATTCAGAACCCATATAGAGATTACCTATGAGGGAACTACCTTGGGCCCATGTAGGCAGCCTATATGGGACTGCTTGTGTTTGCCCATATCTGACCCATGCGGTTTATCAAAATGGGCCCCATATGTTTTTCCCATTCAGAACCCAAATAGAGATTACCTATGAGGGAACTACTTTGGGCCCATGTAGGCAGCCTATATGGGACTGCTTGTGTTTGCCCATGTCTGACCCATGCGGTTTATCAAAATGGGCCCCATATATTTTTCACATTCAGAACCCATATAGAGATTACCTATGAGGGAACTACCTTGGGCCCATGTAGGCAGCCTATATGGGACTGCTTGTGTTTGCCCATATCTGACCCATGCGGTTTATCAAAATGGGCCCCATATATTTTTCACATTCAGAACCCATATAGAGATTACCTATGAGGGAACTACCTTGTGCCCATGTAGGAAGCCCATATGGGACTGTTTGTGTTTGCGCATGTCTGACCCATGCAGTTTATCAAAGTGGGCCCCATATGTTTTTCCCATTCAGAACCCATATAGAGATTACCTATGAGGGAACTACTTTGGGCCCATGTAGGCAGCCTATATGGGACTGCTTGTGTTTGCCCATATCTGACCCATGCGGTTTATCAAAATGGGCCCCATATGTTTTTCCCATTCAGAACCCAAATAGAGATTGCCTATGAGGGAACTACTTTGGGCCCATGTAGGCAGCCTATATGGGACTGTTTGTGTTTGCCCATGTCTGACCCATGCGGTTTATCAAAATGGGCCCCATATATTTTTCACATTCAGAACCCATATAGAGATTACCTATGAGGGAACTACCTTGGGCCCATGTAGGCAGCCTATATGGGACTGCTTGTGTTTGCCCATATCTGACCCATGCGGTTTATCAAAATGGGCCCCATATGTTTTTCCCATTCAGAACCCATATAGAGATTACCTATGAGGGAACTACCTTGTGCCCATGTAGGCAGCCTATATGGGACTGTTTGTGTTTGCCCATATCTGACCCATGCGGTTTATCAAAATGGGCCCCATATATTTTTCACATTCAGAACCCATATAGAGATTACCTATGAGGGAACTACCTTGGGCCCATGTAGGCAGCCTATATGGGACTGTTTGTGTTTGCCCATATCTGACCCATGCGGTTTATCAAAATGGGCCCCATATATTTTTCACATTCAGAACCCATATAGAGATTACCTATGAGGGAACTACCTTGGGCCCATGTAGGCAGCCTATATGGGACTGCTTGTGTTTGCCCATATCTGACCCATGCGGTTTATCAAAATGGGCCCCATATACTTTTCACATTCAGAACCCATATAGAGATTACCTATGAGGGAACTACCTTGGGCCCATGTAGGCAGCCTATATGGGACTGCTTGTGTTTGCCCATATCTGACCCATGCGGTTTATCAAAATGGGCCCCATATATTTTTCACATTCAGAACCCATATAGAGATTACCTATGAGGGAACTACCTTGTGCCCAGGTAGGAAGCCTATATGGGACTGTTTGTGTTTGCCCATGTCTGACCCATGCAGTTTATCAAAGTGGGCCCCATATGTTTTTCCCATTCAGAACCCATATAGAGATTACCTATGAGGGAACTACCTTGGGCCCATGTAGGCAGCCTATATGGGACTGCTTGTGTTTGCCCATATCTGACCCATGCGGTTTATCAAAATGGGCCCCATATGTTTTTCCCATTCAGAACCCAAATAGAGATTACCTATGAGGGAACTACTTTGGGCCCATGTAGGCAGCCTATATGGGACTGTTTGTGTTTGCCCATGTCTGACCCATGCGGTTTATCAAAATGGGCCCCATATATTTTTCACATTCAGAACTCATATAGAGATTACTTATGAGGGAACTACCTTGGGCCCATGTAGGCAGCCTATACGGGACTGCTTGTGTTTGCCCATATCTGACCCATGCGGTTTATCAAAATGGGCCCCATATATTTTTCACATTCAGAACCCATATAGAGATTACCTATGAGGGAACTACCTTGGGCCCATGTAGGCAGCCTATATGGGACTGCTTGTGTTTGCCCATATCTGACCCATGCGGTTTATCAAAATGGGCCCCATATACTTTTCACATTCAGAACCCATATAGAGATTACCTATGAGGGAACTACCTTGGGCCCATGTAGGCAGCCTATATGGGACTGCTTGTGTTTGCCCATATCTGACCCATGCGGTTTATCAAAATGGGCCCCATATATTTTTCACATTCAGAACCCATATAGAGATTACCTATGAGGGAACTACCTTGTGCCCAGGTAGGAAGCCTATATGGGACTGTTTGTGTTTGCCCATGTCTGACCCATGCAGTTTATCAAAGTGGGCCCCATATGTTTTTCCCATTCAGAACCCATATAGAGATTACCTATGAGGGAACTACCTTGGGCCCATGTAGGCAGCCTATATGGGACTGCTTGTGTTTGCCCATATCTGACCCATGCGGTTTATCAAAATGGGCCCCATATGTTTTTCCCATTCAGAACCCAAATAGAGATTACCTATGAGGGAACTACTTTGGGCCCATGTAGGCAGCCTATATGGGACTGTTTGTGTTTGCCCATGTCTGACCCATGCGGTTTATCAAAATGGCCCCATATATTTTTCACATTCAGAACTCATATAGAGATTACTTATGAGGGAACTACCTTGGGCCCATGTAGGCAGCCTATACGGGACTGCTTGTGTTTGCCCATATCTGACCCATGCGGTTTATCAAAATGGGCCCCATATATTTTTCACATTCAGAACCCATATAGAGATTACTTATGAGGGAACTACCTTGGGCCCATGTAGGCAGCCTATATGGGACTGTTTGTGTTTGCCCATATCTGACCCATGCGGTTTATCAAAATGGGCCCCATATATTTTTCACATTCAGAACCCATATAGAGATTACCTATGAGGGAACTACCTTGGGCCCATGTAGGCAGCCTATATGGGACTGCTTGTGTTTGCCCATATCTGACCCATGCGGTTTATCAAAATGGGCCCCATATACTTTTCACATTCAGAACCCATATAGAGATTACCTATGAGGGAACTACCTTGGGCCCATGTAGGCAGCCTATATGGGACTGCTTGTGTTTGCCCATATCTGACCCATGCGGTTTATCAAAATGGGCCCCATACACTCTAAAAAATTGCTGGGTTAAAACAACCCAATTTGGGTTATTTTGGCAACCCAACGCTGGGTCAAATATGGACTAACCCAGCGGTGGGTTATTTTAACCCAGTTGGTTGGGTTAAATCTTTGACCCAACATGCTGGGTTGTTTAAACTGAACTCAACTATTGATTAAAAATTACTACATTGCTGGTTAAAAACAAACCTGAAATAGGTTTCAAAATAGTGAGTGCAGAGAATTACCAGAGGAAACAGTAATAATCATAAGGAGAAGATTTATTATTAATAAGAAAGATCATCCAAATGCATTAGAGAAGATATTCATAAGAAAAAAAATGCAATTTTTCATGCTCAGTGAACAACAAAACAAAACATTTCATTACAATTTGTTTATAAATATTTTTAAAATATTTAAAATAAATAATAAGTAATATTTAAAAAATAAAAAAACATCAATAAATTACATTAGCTTCACTTTTAACAATAAATTACACTAGCTTCACTTTAAACAATAATAAATTACATTAGCTTCACTTTTAACATTTACATAAGGTTATCAAAGTGGCACAAGTGCTTTATAAATTAGTTTGACACCCCTATAGCTTTTTAGAGAGTAAGGTTAACAAATGGCACAAGAACATAGTGGCACAAGTAAAATACTTTAGATATATGCATTAGTCTGACAATTGTCCTCTTAATTTAAACTCATAACATTTTAGAGAGGGTTCGTTGTTTTGGTTCCAGTACTGCTTAACATGACAAATATCCACGGAGCAGTCTAACTGAAGGGGATTCTGTTCCTGGGAGTTTGTAGACAACCGTCTGCAAAAATTCCACACTGGTGCGCACTGCTTCGGGAAATGGATGTCCAAAACATAAAAAAAAAAAGTATGTGTCCACAGCACCAAGTAGAGTTTTTGCTGTAGTGCCTGTTTGCCAACAACAAAGGCCTGATGGCACTGACCGTCATCCCCAAGAACGAAGGGGAAGAGCCTCACCACCAGCAGGAATTCAACTGTGTTGGTCCCAACCTGTTAAAAACAGAAGAATGTTAAAAACTCACAACACAATGCAGCATTATATACAAAATTACAAACAAAATATCGATATACTGTTGTCCTCCTCCGTGCAATATGAGAACCGATACTTTGAAATGACTTAAGAAAAGGACCTGAGGATGAAGGTTAAAAAACCTTTATTAATCCATGGCTAGTCAAATAAAATTAAAACGCCTATGCGTTTCAGCCAGCAAGGCCTTCGTCAGGGCTTGAAGTGTTTGACAAACAGCTCACTTCCTTGTTAAGACCAGTAATCAATAAAAGCTGGTCTAGTCAACCGTTCTCTGAGATTTGTTTTTATGATAATCGAATGTAAAGAGTTTTATCTCTAAAAACTGTTTAGCTTATAATGCTAGTAAATGAGGGCATATAATAAATAAAAAGAAATCGCTAGTTAATACCACTAACAAGGCTTAAAATAGCCCCACACTAACACAGTAATATAATGAGGCTCCATACATGCAAAACAAAGCAGTTCACTTTGTGTATACAGACAGGAGCCATCTTTGGAAAACAGTCTCGACAAGTCGAACAACGAACGCTGTTCATACAGTTCAGAAGTCCGCTGAACTTCATACAGTTCAACTCACTCAGCACATCTTTCGTGGTTCGACTTGTTGAGAAGTTGAGACTTGTACGTGAAGTGCTCTGTCTTTATAAAGTGTCTTCTTATTAAACTCTCTGTACACTTACACAGTTCTCAATGGTTCGTTTTGCATGTATGGACCCTCATTATATTACTGTGTTAGTGTGGGGCTATTTTGAGCCTTGTTAGTGGTATAAACTAGCAATTTCTTTTTACTTATTATATGCCCCCAAATACTAGCATTATAATCAAAACAGTTTTTAGAGATAAAACTCTTTACATTCGATTAGCATGAAAACAAATCTCAGAGAACGGTTGACTAGGTACCGATTTTTTATTAGACCAAAGGTTAATTTTGCGCCGGAGTTGTCCTTTAAGATATATGTGGATCTCTTTACTGAAGAGCACCAGAGGTATTTACACACTTTTACACCTGTTGATATGTTTAGCCATTTTAAGTTGCTCTTAGTATGGTCTGTATAGTGATGTGTGCAATGCTACATTACTTACATTATTGAATTCAATGAAAGACTTGATATTTTCTTTTCTAGTTTCCTCATCAATTTGTTCATCTGTTAAGAGAAAAAGAGACAAGAGAAGAATGTAAGAAAACTGATCTATTCAGGGCTCTACAATGCGAGTATTTCACTCGCATATGTGCCTGAAAATAGTTGTGTGTGAACTTATAAAATAATTTACGAGTGCACGAGTGAAGGGCTGGTCTCAATACACTGAACAAGAGCGCGATGAAGCGAAGCATACCATTGGTTTCACATAAAAAGCATACAAGTGGAGGGGTCACACTGTGAACATAACATGATGACGTAATTTTATTCAAATGAGAGTGACGATTCGCAACCAATGAGCCAATCACTGAAATAGTGTGCTTAGTAATATTGCAAAGTCTGTTGTCATAACAATGTGCACGCTGAGTAAAAGCTTTCAATGCGCACATAGGGATGTCCCAGTCGCGGCAAGTTAAAGTTGACAGGGAAAATGTAGGCCTACATTAAATTGATCCTCTGAGTTACGGATCGATCTTTAGAAATGAATATGAAAATCGATTCAGAATTGGTGAATCGATTTTTTTCAACACAGCCCCACACATTTTTGTGCTTATAATGTTTAAAATGTTTTCAATGAAATCGAAAAGAAGCAGAGTGGTGTTTTATAACATATTTCGTTTCATTGTTGCCTAAAATGTACTTAACAGAGATAACCGAAGTAGCAGAGCGTGGTGAGTGGCGCATTTAAGAACAAGCTGTTCCATTAGCAGAATTACTGGACTCACGTTCTAGGAAGTCATTCTCCTGAACCGGACTTTGCATAGGATACTTGGTATTGAGAAACGCCAAATGCCAACACTTGTTTCTTGTGACAAACATGCCGAGAAGCAATAAAAAACTCCATTGTTGTTTACTATGTTGCTTTCTTCATGCGAAAATGACGTCGATTGCTTCTTTCCGGCAAACACTATGCCTATTAAGTAAGGGTACTGTGGTGGTGGAACCGACCCGATTCGTACTGTACCGTACCGCTCAGTGGAAATGAGCCATTAGCCTACTAGTACTGCAAAAGAAAAAAGCAAGCGGGCTTTTTTTGTTTTGTTTTTAGCACTTTATACTTTATTGAGGTGTTCATTATTTTTATCTATTTTGAAGCAGGCTAAAAATAATATTAGGATAATTGTTAAACAGGTAGTTCACCTAAAATAGAAAATTCTGTCATTTATTACTCATCATGTTGTTTTCATTTTTTTTTTTTTTTTCATTTAGGAGCACATGTACTTGGAAAAAAGGTTAGCATAGAGTCCTGCTATTCAAAGCTCAATGGATTTTAATGAACATATAAAGAAGTGCATTTTAATTTGACTTAAATAAAGTTTACCTTTAAAGATTGGTATCAAGACATCAAAGTTCCATTCTTTCAGCTTCTCCTGTACAAAATGATCCATAAGCTGTTATTCTGCAACCTGTCAGTGGGAAAATGGGGAAATTGGCAGAGGCTGTGAGTCATCACGTTTCTTAAAACATTTAAAATGAGACAAAATGGTCTGTATATCAAACAGATGAGAATATGAAAAATTCAAATACACTTAACTTTTGAGCACATACTTATATTAATCAATGACTTATAAAAAGACAACTTTGCACTAGACACCAATATATATGTATGAATTTTTTTTTTTTGCCTGATACAGATATTTTCCATTTGCTCACTTATTTGAACTTTTGTCATTAAAACATAACTGTTTAATCAAGTTTTAAATAACCAAAAGTCAAAAACACATGCATTAAAGGGATAGTTCATCCAAAATGTAAATTCTGTCATTAATTACTCACCCTCATGTCATTCCAAACCCCTAAGACCTCTGTGCATCTTCACAACACAAATTAAATTATTTTTGTTAAAATCCGAGGGCTTTCTGACCCTTAACATCATTTTAATTTATGAACTAAACATTTGAGATAAACTGGCTAGTTTATTGCAGCATAATCAAATCTTTTCACTGAATCCATTATTCCAGGGTCAATTTATTATTCAAGAGGCAAACATTATTGTTGTTGTTGTTATTGTTTTATTATTACTATTATTATAATATATAAAATGTATTTTGTAAAGATTTAATTTTGTCTGGGCAAATATTAAATTATTGTACACAGAGAAAAACGTTGGATTATGCACCAGACATGTTCAGTGCCTTCTCGTAGTTCATTAATAAAATATAACAGTGTCCAATGTGCATAGCTGGTACTATCCATCCTAAATAGTATGTGACATTAGTAATTTTGTCAATACTATTTAGGGCAGATAGTGTGGATAGTATTCACATTGGGACTGTATTATCACTTATATCTGTGTAAATATGACCATCTGACCATGGTTTTAAATTTCCACGCAAGTGCATCTTCTAACATTAGCTGCTACAGATTTGTCACACTAAACTCACTCATATGCTTTGTGTAAAGCCATTTCTCAACATCTTAGGATATTAAATGTGTGTGTTGTAGCTTGTTTAAAGCTTGTTAGTATAGTGGTTAACAAGTAAAACTGCATATTATTAGGTCTGAAGAACATTGTAGCCTGCGCTAAGTTACTTCTCTCTGTTTATAGATATGAATATTTTATACGTTAGCTTAGCTTAGGTAGCTAACTTAACTTACTCTGCAGTAGAGATAGGTCCAACAAGTCCGACTATAAACACTTAACTTACTCAAACTAGGGTTTCATGACTGTACAAAAACACGGCTTGGAAGATGAACTCATGACGTACTCTCTAATTTTGATAATTTGAAATAAAAAAGGCGACAGCCTGACGCGAGTTTTTAATAAAAAAAGCAAACGACGATCGCATACCGACAATCGTCGACCTTATATATATATAAATATAAACGTTAGCGAAGTTAAATTACTCATAAGTCACATATTTCTGGGGAAATGTTGGCCAAAAGAGGTAATTTAACGTTATCTGACTTATTCAAAAATCAGGGAAAAGCTATAACGTTATAACAAAGTATAAAAATAACGAAGCTAGGGCTTCAAGACTTATTGTGTCCTGTGAATCGCCCTATTTTGCATACTTAAACATTTTTTGGGGTACAGTAATAGTTTTCTGCATTAAATACTCTAAAACATACCTTTTTTCGCCGAATAACAGCTGTCCTTGCTGAAAAACGATCATCTGAGGTGATCCAAAATGCCCGCAAATGCAGAGTTGTTGCCTCGTCTGTGGCGTCGATGGGTGAGGGGTGGGTTCACTGTTTCAACGGTCACAAACGGCAACCCAGCGTTGGGTTACACAAAAAAACTACCCAACAATGAGAAAATAACCCAATAAAATGACCCAACAGTCTCAACCCAGCGGTTGGGTTGAAAAAATAACCCAGCATTTTTTAGAGTGTATACTTTTCACATTCAGAACCCATATAGAGATTACCTATGAGGGAACTACCTTGGGCCCATGTAGGCAGCCTATATGGGACTGCTTGTGTTTGCCCATATCTGACCCATGCGGTTTATCAAAATGGGCCCCATATATTTTTCACATTCAGAACCCATATAGAGATTACCTATGAGGGAACTACCTTGTGCCCATGTAGGAAGCCTATATGGGACTGTTTGTGTTTGCCCATGTCTGACCCATGCAGTTTATCAAAGTGGGCCCCATATGTTTTCCCATTCAGAACCCATATAGAGATTACCTATGAGGGAACTACCTTGGGCCCATGTAGGCAGCCTAAATGGGACTGTTGTGTTTGCCCATGTCTGACCCATGCGGTTTATCAAAGTGGGCCCCAAATGTTTTTCCCATTCAGAACCCATATAGAGATTACCTATGAGGGAACTACCTTGGGCCATGTAGGCAGCCTAAATGGGACTGTTTGTGTTGCCCATGTCTGTCCGATATAGTTTGGCCATGTGGGCCCATATGTATTGCCCCATTCAAAACCCATATAGAGATTACCAACGTGGGTGCCACATTGGGCTCATGTAGGCAGCCTATATAGGACTGATTGTGTTTGCCCATGTCTGACCCATATGGGTTATGAAAGTGGACCCCATATATTTTTCCCATTCATAACCCATATAGAGATTATCTATGTGGGTACTACCTTGGGCCCACGCAGGCAGCCTATATGGGACTGGTTGTATTTGCCAATGTCTCACCCATTTGATAAACCCAAATGGGCCCCATTTGTGTTCCCCATTTTGAGCCCATGCCCTCATTTCCCATTAGTGACCCAACTAGGACCCACATAGGGAGCCCACTTATTTTTGCCCATGTGGGACCGACGTAGCTGACCCAAGTGGGCCCCAGAAAAGATGCCCATTTTGGGACCATACCCACTTGGTACCCACGTAGCCCAAGCATAAACCATGTGGGGCCCACATATACATGTTGGCTGGGTTGGCCTCATGTCTGAGAGCCTGAAAGGTTACAAGTTGGAACAAAACATGATCATTCCATCCACACACCACTGAAGATTGATGGTGATTTAAATGGAGTTTTGAACAGGACCTCTTTAGAACATAGGCCTCCTACACCACTTGGAAC